ACTACACTATACACCATATAACTCAAAATCGAATAAATTTCTAATTTAGGTTTAGTCGGGAAAGGAAACACGATATTATCATTTTACGCTATATATTATATACGCATATACTGTTATTCTAATATAAAGGAATAATGTGGTTAAGTGCTTATATAACGATATATTGTACATGTGGTTACATTATTAGGAATACATAGTGCTGATGAACTAATATTCTACACGTACCTTCACATACTGGAAGTTCTGGAACATACGTTCCGTTCAGACATTGTACAGTACTAGGACCTTCTCTTAATGCAGGTTCCGTGCAACTTAGTGTGATGTATTCTTCGTGTGTGTACGTGACCCTTGACTCAGTCCATTCCAGATTAGTTACGTTTTTATACATACAGCTCGCTAAAAAGCAAATATATTACATCGTGACATATTTGCTTTAGTCACCGTCAGAAATTAGTGCATGCAAACCTCAAATTGAGGTTTCATTTGTTCGGATATATGCACGCTATAGTGCATGTGCTTTTTGCCAATTTCGTATTTTTTTAAACGCGTGTAATTTTCACTTACCATAACAAACTGGTACTTCTTTATCCCATGACCCATCGTCTTGACACTGTAATGCAGCAGCAGATGATATCGTGTATCCAGTACCACACGCATATGTTATTGTTCCCCCCGGTTTTGCAGGAAGTGTACATGTGCCTTACTAATTCTCCGTTATCAGGTGTACCTGGGTCTTCACATATGCCTGTACATTGAAATGGCCAGTGTGGTAATTTGAGATTGTTCTGACAATTGTACGTGTTTTTCATGTTAGTGTCTCGTCTAATAAAATATTAGTATCAATCTGTTGGCATTTACTACAATATATATGTATATATGTCAGACTGAGTGTTGTGTGCATAAGTTCACAATTTCGAATACGAAAAGTCTTTATCGTAGGATTATTTAACACATTAATGTGCTTTGTTGCCAATTTCGTATTTTTTAAACGCGTGTAATTTCACTTACCATAACAAACTGGTACTTCTTTATCCCATGACCCATCTTCTTGACACTGTAATGCAGCAGCAGATGATATCGTGTACAATGTACCACACTCGTACGTTATTGTTTGTCCCGGTATTGCAGGAAGTGAACCTCCTACTAATTCTCCGTTATCAGGGTTACCTGGGTCTTCACATATCCCTGTGCATTGAAATGACCAGTGTGGTTATTTGAAATTGTGTTCGACAAGTGTAGGTGTGTTTTAAGTTATTGTCTCGTCTAATAAAAAAATACGTATAATATAATCGTATCAAGTTGACATATAATATATATATATATATATATATATATATATATATATATATATATATATATATATATATATATATATATATATATATATATATACTAGGTGTCAGTGGCGTGTGCATGTCCAAAACAATCACAGCGTCGAAAACGAAAAGTCTTTATCGTAGTATTATTGAACACTAACCCTAATGTCTGGAAACATTGTGTGCAACTCAAGCTCGTATATTTCTCGTACTGCGAATACTTGTACTAATAATTTCTTTGTTCTTTGTAAATTGAAGCTTATACACTAGTACATTTCTCGTATGATAAAAACCCTGTAACCATTGTGTAAATATAGACCGTATTATACTTACGCTGACACTCTGGATTACTGGTGGAAAAATTAAATTCCGGGTTCCACCTTACAGAAAGATCGGTAAAATCTAACTGGCATGTAAACGTATCAAGACCGTTAACAAGTTGAAAGCCGTCGTCACATGACAGTGTAATTTGCGTAGTTGCAGCGTAGCATAGGCTTGGATATTGACAAGTCACGCTACCGTTCGTCAGTACTCCTGGGTCTGGACAATTTTCTACAAAAACGAGACAAGATAACATTCAAATATAGGGATGGCATTTTTTTTAAATTCTTGATAGTTTTCCATGTGAACAATAAATATCATAATGCTAAATTTCTTTTCTATAAAGATGTAGTCCATCAGCTGGGTCTAAAAAAAATGAGATTTTGTACTCCTTTCGGGGGACCGGCTGGAATTGCTGTAAATGGCATTTATAGGCCCTAAGCATGAACATGTTGTGCGATAGCCTTGTCCAAGTGGTGGCTTTGAGCTACTATTTGACAATGGCTATCTTACTTTTTTTATGCTAGAAAGTGTCAAAGGATAATTTTAGAAATAGTTTCAGCTGGTCCCCTAAGATGAGTACTACCCTCCACAAGGCTGATGGACTAATAGGGATCGCGTCCGCAAAGATTCCCCAGCTCTGTGGTGCTCGGATGTATTTATACGAGAATAC